TGTGTGTGTGTGTGTGTGTGTGTGTGTGTGTGTGTGTGTGTGTGTGTGTGTGTGTGTGTGCATTCATTATTTTTTCTTACTTCCTGTGCTTTTACTGGGAATACTTTCTAATTCATGGTTTCCTGTTAATGTTGAAGAGCAGCAGAAACCTGATTATGAAAATAATCTCTGCGATGGCTATTTGTGGTAAACCGCACCTTCCTGTCTATTGCCCTGCTGTCATCTCCACAGTAACATTTTTTTTATTTTTCTTATTTGTAAATGTTATGAAAATGAATACAATAATAGCTTGGATCAGAGCTTTTACCGGCTTTTTTTCAGTTTTCATTTTTCTTCCGCCTTCCTAAATGCGGTTACAAAGGATAGAAAGGAGTTTTTTTTTATTCTGCTAAACCTGCTGAACTGGAAAACCAAAATTGCAGATAAAAACCATAAAGGGAAGGCAGAAGGGAAAACTCCGGATGAGCAAGTAACATAACAATTGACAGGATTAGTGAGCAACAGTGTTGCTGTGCCTTACAGAAAGGTCACACAAAATGGCCATATGTTTATCTAGCCTTAGGTCTAGCATGACACTTCCAGTAAAAGGAAGCTGTCACTGTTTATGTGGAACTTTCCACGACAGGGAGTGAAAGACCAGTTAAATAAACAGAGGTCACATCCAGAGCGTGACACTGGTCATTTTTTTTGTCTTTTCAAAGAGAATTGCCAAGACGCCCTTTTAGGAGTTGTACCCCTGAAATGCGAACGGCTGAACAAACCACACAAACATCGCCTTCAAAAACATTGCAGGAGGAGGAAGAATCCCACGGGCAAACATTTCTGTCACAGTTAGTAGTTTCAAGGAAGTGCTTTATCAATTGCTCTACCAGTAAATTAGCCCCATTTGATAGAAGGAACTCCACAGGTTAGCCAATTTAACCAGACAATCGATTTTCTGGCAGGCTGTTTAATGACTCACTGGAAAGTCGTTCTAAGGCACTGTGCTCCTGGGGGAACTGTGTGCAAGCACTCTGCTATTGGATAGCTCAAAGCTCTTTGACAAAAGGGGAGCACTTATCGATGTTATGTTGCTATAAAAAGCTGGCAGCGGATAAGACACAGATATAGATAGTCTTCAGACACTTTCAACCTTTAGTGGTCACAAGAAAAACTGCATGGAGAGTATCGAAATAGCATTAGGTGTTTAGCAAGTAGTAATAGCAAGTAGTTTAGTGACGCTCATAAGAGTCAGATTTCTTTAAAACTGCCCATGGGGACGTATTCACCGTCATTAACTATGAGCAAATCAAAGTTGGTCATGGTGAGATACTGCTCTTTGAAAAAAAAACATTTGAGATATTTTGGGCTGAGAAAATTGTAGTTCACATTTCCGCTGCCTCAGTGATTTTCTCTTCCTACACACCAGCACAGAGCTCCTAGTAATACCAATGTTTCCCTTGAGTCATCCCTTAATTAGAAAGAAAACAGCCAGCTCTATCTTTTCCTCTGGTGCATGTAATCATCTCTTAATCATTTTATCTGTCATGTATCAGACTGAGGTGGTTTAACTGCCCTCATGACACCTAACCTGTACAACTATCTGCCGGTAAGGATATGGCACCGACAATGAATGAAAGGAACAGAGAGTCTCATGCAGGGAGAGCGATAAGAGAGCAGGTGAGGTGGGAAACACGGGTGCAGGGAGGTGAAGTGAGGAGGAAAAGTCCAGAGAAGTAGGTAGAGAGGCACAGGAAATGTAAAAGTGTAGCACAATAAAACAGGAAGCTAAGCAACAAAAACACAGCAGCAAAGTTCTTTGCAGGAAAAGGCAATTTCAAATTTGAGTTATCTAAAAAAAAATAACTCATTGGTCTGATTTCTCCACAATAAAAAATGTTATGCTTTACCTTTCCGTTAACCCCCCCATCATTCACATGACCAACACGTGTAACTCCATACTTTTGCTTGTTCAGTTGGCTGGTGTCCACTTGCAACCCTCAGCTCTGAATTGTCTTGATGACACAAACAGTTACTGGGATGAGGAGCACAACCCAGCATGTGGGGGTGGAGTGGGGGGCACTGGTTGGGAAAACCGAATCTTTTCACAGCGTTTCCTCTTCTGTCTGACGCACAAAGTCATACAGCTTGGAAAATAAACTCTGTTAGCTATGTAATCATGACACTACAGTGTGGAAAAAGGTATTCAAAGTACGTGAGTGTGTGAATGTTCCCGACTGGGCTGATTGGAGGACTCTCCCGGAGGACAGCCCGAGTCACGGTGACTATCATTTCCTTTTTGAAAAAAAAATAAGCACGCAATCTATTGAAACATAAACAGAAATGCTCAGAACTACGACATGGATGTGTGATTCTTGCCCAATGACAAGCTGGGAAAGACTCCGAATACCCCCTTACCTTACTTGGAATATATGGGTGTAGCAACACAGTTGGATGGAAATTCCCAAAAAGTAAATGTCCTTCGGGGTCTCAATAAACTGAGCTTTTGTGCAAGCTGGAGCAAAACACAGTTTACTTGATGTACTTTGCAGACTGGTTTGCTCCAGTAAATTCCACTAAAATAAAGACGTCCGCCGTTACAGGTGAATAACAACTGCCTTCTGTGTCCCTGCAGAGCGCTGAGGACGAGTCACAGTGGGTTGAAGACCTGTTGAAGCTCCACACGGCCCGGGTTCGAGACGTCGAAATCCTGACGGGCTTAGACCTCTTCAGATCCACCAACCTCACCTACACCAACACCCTAAGACTCAAAACCTACCTGCACACTTTTGAGAGTGACGACTAGATGCACAAAGGTGGACAGAGAAATATACTGGATGTTGGCCTTGATAGAAAATCCTTCATTTTCGCCGATGCTCACTGGACAGATGATGCACGGTTGTTCCCGTCCCGAGCAACTGCCCGAGATGGGCTTTCAAACAGATTTGGAAAGTTTAAAAAAAACAACTCAAATTTGACTTTGGGAATATTAGCACAGAAACATTCAATAGAACCATAAAACTATGAAAATTAGTAGAGAACAAGAATGATTGAATGGGGGACTTAAGGCTGCCAGTACACTGCTGCATTTTCCAGCACATGTAAAGGACTGTATCTGTGTTTTAGCTCCGTAACATTTAGTAATCTATATCTAATATTTCTACTGATTTCCAAATATATGCAGTTATATTTAGAAAATATATTAAAAAGTGTGTTGTTTACTTTTGAATATCGGTTCCGGCTGCATGCAACGTAACACTAAAATGACATGAAAAATCTGATTAAAAACTATGAAACTCTGAGGCAGAGTATTATTTGTATTCAATAAGCTACAATTTACCCCAAAAAGAACAGTCCAGTGTGAGTCCTTTTTTTAGCAGCTTCAAATGTTTTCTTGGTTATTAACTATAAAAAGCCTTAACCACAGCATACCACTTTCATACAGAGGCTCACGAAAGGGAAATTCTTAACCACAGAGAATGCTTGGTGATTCAAATAATATGTATCGGTCATCTTTATCTGAGATGAAAAGGCATAATTGACGTAGAACTGACGTGCATGAATACGAAGCACAACTGCCTTTGGTTACAATCCAAAATACACCAACAACTGTTTAGTGAGTCTTCCTTCAAGCAAACATTATATTCTGAGTGAGTGTGTGAACTGGAGTACTGTTGGAACACTGCCCCTCCTGGATAAAATACTTCATTTATTAATAGACATATTCAACATTAAAAACCAAAATATTTCGCTTTTAACATGAAAATGGCAGAAAAAATGCATACAGGACAAAAAGGTTTGTGACGTTTTCGAAAAGAGAGAACTGCTGTGTTGGTGGCAGCATAGTCTGAAACGTGACCGCATTTTGCATTTGAATTTAGATACTACTCTTAACATTAAATGCCAAACAAATTATTTTTTATGTGCCTCTGTCTACATCATTACCCATCATTCTATCACAGCTCTATCCATGTTTTCCTTTTGCCCAGCTCTGGAATAATAATAGGATCCAGAGTGATTCCAGTGAAAGAGTGAGGCCACTATTAACTTTGAGGAAATTACAAGCATATGTCGAGCTTTTCTTTTATCAGTTTATCAGGTTGTAAAGGAGAATGGTTAAAAAAATGCTTCCAAGTGCTTACTAATTACTACAATTTTCAATCTTAAACACCACAAATCAGAGACGTTTTTCACCATTTCAGTGTTTGTTGTCTTGGGAATAAATTTGATGGCAATTGTTCATAAACTTGAGTCTTTGAATGTACCTACTCTATACAATGAATGACACTACATCTAGTCCTTATCATTTATTTTGGCTAAAGAAGGTTAATTATTCTGGGATAGTGCTCTCTTCAGGATAGAGAGGTTAGTGAATTTTATTTGAATGCTGGTCAAATGTAAGTTTGAATTAATATTGGTTGACTTTCATCCTTATGGTGATACAATTTGGAAAATGACTTAGCTTAGCTTCACTCACTGTACGTTTTCTCATTTTGTGACGGCTGTCTTGTCTGATTAAACTTAATGCTTTTATAGTCTAAGAGTTGCCAAGATCTAGTGTTCCTTTTGTTTATTGTAAACATTTGTGACATTGCAATTAAGGGTAAATATAGCAAAGTATCATTCATCAGTGGAATAAAATATTAATGAGAATTACTTTTAATGACTTAGGAGCATGTCAAGTTGACTAGTATATCCTTGTAGTCTTTCAAATAAAAGAAATATAGATGACAAAAACTTACAATGAGTGAGACTGAGTTGTTTTCCTATGTATGGCTTACTAAGGATGTGAAAGTCCAATTTTCTGCCCCAATATACCAACAAAATAAGGTAGGATGCCAGCTACACCAGAGTGTAACTCCACAAACGTTAAAAACACAGAAAAAAAATCTGTCGGACTTCAGTGAACAACCTAAATCTACAGAAGGTTTTTAAAGTTTTGTCCCCAATATACCAACAAAATAAGGTAGGATGCCAGCTACACCAGAGTGTAACTCCACAAACGTTAAAAACAAGAAAAAAAATCTGTCGGACTTCAGTGAACAACCTAAATCTACAGCAGGTTTTTAAAGTTTTGTTCGTGAGCAGCTGCAATATGAGCTGCAGGTACAGCCGCATACTTTCTCTTTCCAGATATATCCTAATGGTGCAGCAATAAAACAATTTGGGTTTGTTGTCTTCACAATGTAAAAAAGTAAGACTCTGATGAGGACTGTTTCATCCAAACATCCAACAGATCCAGAAGCACGATAAACTAAGGAAAATCCTGTTTGTAGTTTAAAGGCCAACACACGTTGAGCAAGCTCAAAGGTTCCCACAAAATGACCGAACAACACAGCAGAAGGCGTCTCCACACTCTGAGCTGGGTCAGTCGCACGTCATCCCTCAATTCTCCATCACCCCTCTGTTCTCAGGAAAATTCTCCTTGACTGACTTTTATCATGTTAGAGGGATAATTGAAACCCTGTGCAGACTGGAAAACAACATCAGCACCTGGGACTGAAATGGAGAGAGACAGAGCACTATACACACACAGAAATGAATGAGAAAGGCAAAATATCATCCATATGTGTAAGTGTATCTGTACATTAACCTCCTAAGACCCTGCATCCTCACGTGAGGACATTGCATTTTTGCTTCTCTTTACCATGATACTTCTTTTTTCTTTCGACTTTGACCTCTTGTTTTCCATAGCAGACGCTATCAGACACTGCTGTTTGAATTCCCAAGTAAAATGGTTTTATACATTTTCAACCATTCATGTTCTTATTGTGTAATAAAAAAATGTGTAAATATGTCATTTCGGACTGTCAGAACCAAATTGCAAAAGAATGTAATTAAATATGTAATGAAAGATTTTATATATAAGGATGAACCCATTGAACCTATACAAAGAAAAACTAACTGTACCGTGAAAAAGTCTAGTTATTCAACTAATGTGGTCCAACGAATCCCATATATCTTGAACAAAGAATACACACCAAATGAAAGCTATAACATACATATGTATACATGAATGTATATAAATGTATATATATATATATATATATATATATATATATGGAGAGAGAGAGAGAGAGAGAGAGAGAGAGAGATAAATAGATATATATGTATTTATGTTTATTCCTGTGTGTGTGGGCAAAGAACCAAAGAGTATAAACTCATTTTAGAAAAACCCTGTCAGTTCAAAGGTCCTTATTTTTCACATCTTCAAATATCAGAGCTTATCGTGCGAAGCTCTCATATAGATCTAAGCTCAAGGTTAATGACACATCTCAACTTGCGTGACTGCTTTGATGCAGGAGATCCACACTTACTGGCAGCAGGGTATGGCTCACTTCCTCACATCATCTGAGCATCACTCATGGCCTTAATTTGTAATAAATGCACAAATATATAATGACACTGAAGTTCACTGAAGTTAAGACACTGCACATTAAGTGAAGTTATTGATTGTCACTGGGCAGTATTTCACACCTAATTGGAAGATAATTCTGTGCCCACGTTTGAGATCTCGGAGTCTCAAAGTTTGTTTCAAAGACATTTTAGCCCCTTCTCTTTTTCAATAAAATACATTTAAACGTGCACTTATCTCTTTTCTGGTAATCAGTTACTTATTGCCTCCCCCTGGTCCAGAGGTCGCTATTGTGATATCTTCTTTTTATGTTTGCCGTTGTGTCTGTCTGTGTGTTGTGAGAGTGTGTGAGCACGGGATACCTGGTAGCCATGGACTTTGTAAAGTCACAGAAAAACAGAAAAAAGATCCTTGTAAGTATTGATTTTTGGTCTGCCTTAATTGGGTGAAGATACCTCGGTCTGTCTACATGTGTTGTTTTACTCTAAATGCTTTTTTTCTTATCTTATGTGCGAAATGTATTTTGCAAACTATATTATTCTAAGTGTCCCTCTAAGATCTAAGTGGCTAAATTCTAAGTAAATTATCAGAGATTAAATCATGTTGTTTTGTCAGTAGCCAATTAGCTAAAAAAAAATCAGGTAAGCTGACATATTTTCAGTTGCAATTCTTGTCCAGGAATAACTTTTACGATACAAATAGTTGTGTTTCTAAACAATCTCTTGCCTTTCTTTTAAATTCAAGATTTTTATTGCTCATCAACTAATTTGTTGATTTCAATATCTCAAAACATTTCCCATCACAGACAGATGTGCACACCGTTATGCATGCGCACCGTGACAGTGAAGCAATGTTATGGCAGGAAATAAAAAGGAAAGTTTGCATTAAGAAACTCTGTGGAGTTTGTGATGAATTAAAACGTTTCCCGGCTTGTACTGGATCTTATAACCAGTGCTGGTGCCCTTACCTGTTCTAGGCAATCGATTTATTAAAAAATCTTAATAACAACTGGTCTTACACTGATCTTTTTCCTAAAAGTATTGAAGTCGGTCTGTGAAGACTTTATGATTGATTGATTGATTGATTGATTGATTATTTATATTGCGCTTAACAACATCCAACTAAGGTGACCAGAACACTTTACGGCAACACAAAGAAGTGCAATAAAAAGTTATATCACCCGAGAAATACAACAGAATAACAATAAAATTAGATTATAAGGTAAATGCCATTCCACTACATGGTAAAAATAAATAAATGATTATTCCTGGAGTTATTGGACTGGAAATCTATATTCTACAGGATTTTAGTGATAAACAAAAAGAAATCAACCACACACTCACATTTGTTCCAAGGGGCAATTTAGAGTTACAAATTAACCTCACCTTTTTTATGCAAACATTGCATAGCGATGATCCCAATCGAAAGGAATGATCCCATTCTGTGTAAGATACAAAGTAATACTCACACATCTGGACTTGTTTATTCTGGTATTTTTTCCCATAAAAACCAAGGAGGTGACATTGCCACAGATAGTTTGCTATATTTACCCTTAATTGCAATTTATCCAGAACCTGGATAAATAATCAGTAAAAAATGCTGACTCGGCTTAGATGTTTCCTCTGCAATCGGTTGACTTCTTTATACAGTTTGAACTTAAAATTATCCCCACAACAGGGGTTTGTCAAAACAGTCTTGAAATAACTTAATGATGCTCTGAAACTACACAGGAGTGTTTTCAGCATGTTGAAAACTGCTTTGGACTCCAGTCTAGTCATTAGTAGCGTGAACAGGCATAGTTCTGATGGCAGTGTTTACTTTCCATAATAAAAGACTTTTGTTTGTGAATGGCTTTGTTGTGTGTGACAGATGGGTGTCCTGGCGGCGTCCATAGTGATCATAATACTTGGTCTTGGACTTGGGCTCGGACTGGACTTGCAGAGGTGTAAAAACAAAGGTATTCTCTCTCTCTCTCTCTCTCACACACACACAAACACACACACACACACACACACACACACACACACACACACAAACACACACACACTCAGAATTACATGGTGCTCACAAACAAACACTGCCAGGTTATAAAAAAGGGAATATGATGAAACATTTTCTTTTGACTCTGCTGTACTACACAACGTGCATCATTTCAATAAACATGTGCAATATCATAAGCATAATTTCTAGGTTGTCATGACAACAAGAGGCCGATCGCTGTCTTAAGTCTTCTCTGGACATGCTTATCTGAAATCTGTGTTTTCCAAAATGAAAGGGATCCTTTTCGAGAACAACAAGCCTCTAGTCCATGCTAAATTACAAAAAAGCTCCATCTTAGCACAGTCAGCTTTCAGATATGATATATGACATGCACTAGGTGGTTTAAATCTTTTTTGAAGAAGAAAAAAACTGACAGCCATAAATCTAGTTATGTGTCATTTGGGGAATTTGGGAGTAAATTCGGACTTATTTGGTGTGCCTGAGATGCCCAGCTTGTTATGCATCTGACTCAAAAATGTAACAACCACGCAGGTCAAATAAAATATTTGGCAATCCTTATATCTTCCAGATGAATAATCTTGAAGTTGCAATTTTCCGCTTCCTTTAAATAACATAAACCAACACATGGCAGAGTTTTTTTCTTAAAACAAATAAGCCATCTGATGGAACACGAAGCACAGCCTGGCAGATCAAAGCAACTGAACATAAACTAATTCTCAGCCTTCCGTTAGTCATGGTACAGCGGATTTACAGTAATTCTTTAAGAGAGATCATTAAATTCTTAAATCAATAAGAGGGGGAGGATTCCCAGAGACGCCAAAGTCAACGGAACCTGAAAATATTGATTTGCTTGCATGTAATTGAAACAACTCCATCCATTCATCGTCTTCTGCTTTTTTAAGGGCGGTTTGTACCGGCAACTGACTAAGCAGCAGAAAAACAGACATGACTCGTTCTAGTGGCACTGTGCTCCACCTAGGGTCCCAAAGCGTTCCCAGGTCAGCAGGGACATTTGGACCTGCCCCAAAGCGACAGAAGGCACCAGATGCCAACCACCTCCTCTGAGCTCTTCTGATGTGGAAGAGCTCCACTTCTACTCTGTCTTATCCCAAAAACAAGTCATGTTAAGATGAAACTTTTACTCACTGATGGCAGATCTTCTGAACTGACTTAATGGAAATGTCCAAAGATCATCAACCTCCTGAGACCCGAGTTTTTATTTGGTGTAAAATAAGTTCTTAAACCTATTAGCATGACCTAATAAGTTTAATAACTAGACTCCAAATGGGTAAATTACAACATTTTTGTTACACAAAATAGACATTATTGGTTGATGACTTGTATAACCCTTTCATTCCAGGTTTCAAACATTAGTGTCTGATAGAGTCTTCTATGAGGCTGATCAAAGTTGAAAATCATGACAAAAATGCAATATCTTCACGTGAGGACGCAGTGTCTGAGGAGGTTACGTGTTATTTTGGGCCTTGTCTTTCAGTCGTCCCCCACACCTCCTGCAGGAATAGATGCTACGAGCCGTTTGACGATGAAACTCCCGGCTGCAGGTGTGACAGCAACTGCAACGCCTCCAACAGCTGCTGCTCTGATTACCGGGACGTGTGCACCGCTCCCTGTGAGGCCCCCGCTTTTATGCTTTTCGTGTTTTTTTCACTTCTCTTTATCGCATTTACACGTAAATCAGACAAATGTAAGTTGGTCGTGCAGAATAAGGGTGAATCAAAGGCGGTTTAAGTGGGACTGAAGGAAAGGTTCCCTCCAGCCCAGCAGTGGGAATGCACCGCACCTCGCTGCGGTGAAACCAGGCTGACGGGGAGCAGATGTCACTGCTCTGACGACTGCGTGTCTGCCGGGGACTGCTGCACAAACTACAGGCACATCTGCCAGGGTGAGGCGTCCCCGTCCCAAAAGAATTCACGTGCTCCACCATTCCCTGCATGCTGCGACATGTTGATCGGGTTCTGTTCTCAGCACAGATGTAGGCAGAGTAATGCCTAAGTTTCAGGTGAACACCACAGTTTATACTGGTCCTTTTTTTGGAGCTCTTGTCAGGATGGGACAGTAGAATCGCATTATTTTTTTGTATAGATAAATACAGATTGTTTACAAAAAAACATTTCTGACTTTTTAGAATTATGACACTAATGCAGATTATTTAAATTGAACTGATGTTTAATTCATTTAATCCATTAAGGGTGGCAGCTATTCGGACTTATTCATCTATTCTCTACAGAACTGTTGTAAACAAGAGGACTAGCTTTGTTGTTTTTTTGGAAGGATAGCTGCTGTCTCTGTCACTCCTTTCAATCACACTCCAGGCTCAGCCAAACTTATTCTTTAACTTCCCTTTCACTAGCAGAACAGATACACAGACCACAAATCATATGAAACACCTGAAAGTTTTTTCTTATTCATGCTGTCTCATAAGGGTGTTTTGACATTTTCTGTAGGTGACACAGAGTGGGTCCATGATCAGTGTGAGGACCTGTCAACCCCTATGTGTCCTGAAGGGTGAGTTCTTTTTTAAAAGGGTTTATCAGATCCACCGAAATCACATGTGCAATGAAATCCGAAAACCTATTAATATCCTGATAACTTTGATTGGTTTTTGTGTTTTACTTTTCAAAAAACTATTTCCACATGGTATACTAAATTCGACTTAATAAAAAACACACACAAGTTCCCAGAACCTGTGTGTGTTTTTTATTTAGTCAAATTCAAGATGCATGAAGGTAACAGTCGAAAACTAAAATTGAGAATTTTCAAAATGCTCTAATATGCTAACTTTAAAATATCATAGATGCATTTAATTTGGCATTTCAATGAGATTTAATCACGTTTTCACAACTTTAAAAAGGTCCTGATTTTAACCATTTAGTGAAAGGTTTGTGTTTATTTCCATACTAAACTAACTAATATTTCTGATTTGTTCTTGTTCTAATTCCCTCACAGCTTTAAGCAACAGCCCCTTCTGCTTGTTTCTTTGGATGGACTCAGAGCTGAGTACATGCAGACGTGGCGTGATCTCCTCCCAGTTCTTGACAAACTCAGTTAATGCTGAAACACTTTACACAGTCTTCTACTTTCACTGTTGACATCTTAAGACCAAACAGAAACAGCTCACATTCCTCTAACATGTCTCATCATCAAATATCTAGTACAAACTTGAAAACAATTAAACAAATCAAATGGCTAAAAGTTAGCACATTTTGATATTTCATGAAGAACATTTTATAGCAGGAAAAGCAACTGTCAATTACAAGAGAGATCTATTTGTAAAAGGTCACCAATGTTTTAAGAACAAGAAACATCTTAGAGAGGCAGAGTCTCTAAAAATGTAAATATTTCTTCGGATGTTCCTCTTCCTTCAATAAGGTTTTCATTGTTGCCATGACTTAGTTGCCGTGACATTGTTGCCATGACATGTTCAAAGTGCCCCCCCCCCCCCCCCCCCCCTCCCCTTTTAAAGGCAATGACGCATGCTCCCATATTATGGCAAGGTTTTTAGAGACTCAAACTTTTTCCAGGGTGGAGGGCACAGAGTAAAATGTTTTTTTTGGTCTTCTTTCTTTTCTTTTGCAGGAAGCTGTGGAACATCTGCTCCATTCATGCAGGCGGCGTTTCCAAGCAAGACTTTTCCTAATCACTACACCATTGTCACGGTGATTGCACCCACTGTGCTGCTCAGAAACCAAAACATTCACCTGCGTTCCAAACGTTGGGCCGTTTACGGTTCTGCACAGCTTTAGGAAAAAGATCCGCTGAACCGCACTGAATGCGACTGTTTTCCACACCTTTTTGAGCAGCGTATTAAAATGAATTAGGAGGAAGAAATTATTAAAAGAAACCTCAAAACGGTCAAACCCATTGCTTGAGGGTGAACTCAATTTGAGAGCCTTATGTCAGTTAGCCCTGACTGTGTGAATTCTCAATTCTTAAATTCTGCTTTTAAACTTTAAATTTGAAAATCTTTTTAACACATTTTAAATATTTTAAGCAAATAACTTTGAATTGTCCTTAGCACAAAATGTAAATAAATAAATTATCTTCCTTTTCTCACTGGACAGGCACTCTTTGACTCACTTTTTAAGACAGAAAGATTTTTGTTAATTTTGTGGTTGGACGAGTGGATTTTCATTGGTCACTTTTTTCTCCCCTTCCATCATTTTTCATATCAGGGTCTCTATCCAGAGTCAAATGGCTTGATTGACAATGTTATGTACGACCCGGTGCTGAATGCCACTTTCACCCTGTCCAGTTCAGAGAAAGACAACCCTGCCTGGTACCTCGGACAGCCTGTGAGTCCCCTCTCGATTTGCCGTCAGCGACAGAAACCGCCTCATGCTCATACTGCAAAGAGCTTCACTTTTATGAAGAAAAACATTACCATTCCCACCTCATTGGCCACTTGTTTCTGCGGCAGATTTGGCACACAGCCATGTACCATGGCCTGAAGTCTGGGACCTTCTTTTGGCCCGGATCAGATGTCAAAATCAACGGAAGTTTTCCAAACATCTACCGACCTTACGACGGGTAAGACTAAACTAACAAAATAATAAATGATACAACTCTTGTCAAGATTGCATCATTTGTTAGATTGCACTTCCTACATTTAGTTATTCATTGTCACTCATCCATCTAATTTGACATATTTCCTAAACGTTTTCACAGAAAAATAAGTAGTCACATAACCGGAAACGTGATCAACGATCGTTTGTTTTTCTCTTTTGCCGGCCGGATCAGCATCAGCGGTGACATGTTTCAGACCATGTTTGAGCATCTTTACATGTGGTCGGTATGGTCATCATGAGTTGTGCGCTGAATCAAAGAAACGGAGCGTGCCCGCCAGAAATGGAGAAAAAGGATGTTTGGAAGTAAAGCGGTCTGCTGTAAATCAAGTCATGTTGTTTTCCAAACTTTACGTGAAGTAGGGCTCAGTGTGTGAGACGGTGTCTAAACAGCGCAGATGAACAAGGGCTGAGTGCAAAAACACTAACCCAAAGAAAAGTTGCCAGGCAACAACAGTGATTGGCTGTGAGTGAAAAGTCACGTTCAACTCTGTAATCAGAGCAGCAGTGTTTGGATTGTCCCACCAGGAGGTTGGCTACATCCCCCCCATCTGAATTCCTGAAACATTAGATGTTATACTACAGTAAACACAGCAATTTAACAGGGAATGCATAAGATAAAGTGCACAACCCCATCAATTCTGAAAGATAAATATCTATCTGACCCCTTTGTTTGTTTCTTTAATTAAATGGAAAAAAACAACAACTAATTCAATCAGTATGTTCGGCACATATTTACTGTGAACTAAAATGCCAAAAAAAGAAGAAACATTCTTTATTTATTTTTGATAGGGGTTAAAGGGGCGATGAAGCATATGTGGGTCCTGGAGTAACTTGCTAGTTAGGGGACTTATGCAAAGATGGTTTTGAGTATTTTTGACAACCATGTCAGTTTGTTTGGAAATAAATGTCAGCAGACCCGTGATTATTTCCTCACTCAGCTTTACTGGTAAGCACAGTAGAAAAAGAGAGGTGGATTTATCTGGCCAAGGAATTCCTTTGGGGGAGGATTCTTTTTGCAAACCATTTCATCTTGAACTAATATCGCTTAAGGCACTTTTTCCTAGAACTTTTCTCATTTCCCTAAGCAATGAATTAGGGTGTGTTTAATTCCCTTTCTGTTTCGGTAATATCTGCTTGTATTGCGTCCACTGACTGCGTCAAACGAATACCTCTGACATATTGGCTTACGTTGTTGAGGAGGTTTTTCACCAGAATGAGATGATACTCACTGAATGATGACGCATTTGCACCTCAAACATATCTGTAAAGTATTGTATGTAGACTCACGATTTTGGCTTAAGGGCTCAATTAGCATAAATCTGACAAGACAAGCAAAACCAGCACTTAATTTGTTCTTCTTTTTTTTCCTTTTTTCACAGCCTCTGGTCCCCGCAAAGAGTCAAAACACGTTTTAATTAGATCTGAATTAGTTAGTGGCGCTGTACAATGGTACGGTTCACTGCTCCTCAGAGAGTTTGGCCAGCGGAGCTCTATGCAGTGGAGGAAAAAGCAGCCCCAGGTACATGAAGGTGCCTTCTAAAGGGGACGCATTTCATTTAGGTTTATCTTTTATCTAAGAAGATTGACTAGTTGGAAATAGTACAAGATATCCAGCGTATGATGTAACTTAGTTTGGCTCCTGAATGAGCTTTTACTCGCTTTTTGGACTGGTTATAGTCACCCAGGTTAGGTTTGAACCTTAATAACAACTTGGATAGTGTTGGGAAAACTGTCTGGTCTTCTTTAAATCAAACTCTCCAATATCACAAACCGTTTGAATTATTTTTCTCATTTTAATTAGCAAATGAGACTCATCTGGTTCAGGCACAAAAAACATCCCGCTTACTGTGTTGAAAGCTTTTTTTTTAAGTCCGTTCTAGCTTCGTGTGAGATGTTTTTTCACCTGGTGAGAGCTGATGGAAATTTATTTTGTGAATCAGGACTCACATTTGGAACATATTTATACATGACTTTACTTTTTCAGCTATTTTCTGCCCAAACACTGCCAGTATGAGCCAACATGACTGATTATACACAGCATACATTAAAACTTCCTGCAGGCCTCTCTGAAACACAGCGGATTAAATGCTTTGAGTTATTCAAGCTCAAAAGTGAATTATGGATTCATTCCTTTGCTTTTTTAAATTTCAATTCTCAGTTTGGATATATTTATCATGTTGTGGTTTTCCTGTTTTTGTCCTTCAGTTATTCATTTAAATGTGTTTTTCAACGCCCATCTGAGGTCTGTCTCAGCCGCAGAGACTCTAAACCAGTCCCCCTTTTTCTCACAGACATTGTGAGATCCTTCACATTAGTTTTATGGACAATTCATGCTATTGTTATACACTGAAAGCTTGTACTGACTGCCCCACAAACACACTACAACAACATCATCTCCCTGCTGGATTTAAATACATGGTTTTACTCTCAGTAAACTGTGGAGAAAACGTAGAAGCTTCTATGTGTCTTAGATATCTGTGGAGATCATCCAGGTCATGGTCAACTTTGAAAAATTCAGTTTAGGCAGCTGGACGTCAAGTTTTCTAGACGAGATGGGTTAAAGGAAGCCATCTTTGTCCACCTGGAAAAACCATCACTCAACAGAGGAGGTGATCCTAGACATAACCTGTCACCTACTTAAAGAGCACTTTTAGGAACAACACCCAGAAGATTTGTCCCTCACTTGACTCACACAAGAGGGATGTGACTGAAACCACTCTGACAAGGGAGTTAACAACCCATCAGAACCCCCTAACAACCGTTTACACTCCTCCAGGTGACGTCCATGGCCCACCCAGTAGGACGGATCACAGCCACCTTTAGTTTTTTTCCCAAAATTCTTTCGTTACACCCACGGTATGTTATTCTCAGTGCTGCCCACCATCAGTTGGAAATGAAAAAGCTTCTTGGATGAGAGGCGAAACCTCTTCGAGAAAACAATTGTGTTGAAACAGAGCTGGACAAAATGGTGTTGACATAAGTTTCTTTTCCAAAAATATGACATTTGGATTGACGTGGAGTTTTGTTTTGGCTAACAGGGGTTGTGTAATGTCTTTGGTAAGTAGCCTTAAAATCTGGATAAATCTCTTCAACTTTATGAGCCATTATTACTCAAAACTTTGGCTCAGAGAATAATGCACATAATTGTGTTATTAATTGTTTCAGTGTGCTGAGTTCAATGAGAACTCAGGAAAAAGAGCAAAGATTTTCCTCTTTGGATGACGCAGACCTGGGAAATATGTTTCTGATTCAGAGCTTTATCCCTCCTGTCACATAAATGACGAAGATAAAACAACAAATCAAATGCTAGTTTTGGATTCTATGCTTTCTTTTCTTTTCTTTTTTTTTTTTTACTGTTGCAGTCTTGCTTTTCAGGAAAGTCCCATTCGAAGAAAGAGTGTTTACTGTGCTGAGGTGGTTGCAACTGCCAGATGATGAGAGGTTGGTTTCTCTCCCACAGAAGTGTTTGATTGCCATCATAAGATCATCAATGTAAATAATAACAATACAAATCACCTCTTTGTTAGGCCAGATTTCTACACATTGTACCTGGAGGAACCTGACAAATCTGGACACAGCTTTGGTCCTGTCAGTGGAGGGGTAAGGATGCTCTTATCTGTTTATGGGAAAATGTACCGGACATCCTCAGTCAGGAATGTGCCACAGCCAAAGAGAAAAAGGGAAGAAATTAATATTAAAGTTTGACCGAAGAAAGACATCAGGCTGCAACCTGGAATAGAGCTGGGTCTTTTCTTTTTGAGCTGATGGGCAGTCTGTCTAGACATGCTTATCTCCAGTTTTGCAGATCAAACAAACTCAAGTGGAATGGGGGAAGTCAGCTGTTGAAATTAAATGAAAATGAACAACCAGTTTTACAGCCGGCTAAAAGTCATGATTGGTCACAAGATTTTGTATGACACATTTTGAAGACTCAAGAGTTTGAAATTTCACTAAATCTGACTCAATAAGTATTCACTTGCCAGATCATTATTGATGCGTACCAAAGGGTGATATTCAAGCTACTTCCAGATGAAAGCCTCAGGTATCTGGAATGTTGTAAAGCAGCTAATCTGTCTGAGACTTGTTGTGACATGAACTGGCATTAAATACTGATTTTAGTTAGGTGTCTTTTACAAGGGCTTGAAAGGCTTGCATATATTACAGTTTTCTTAATTTATGTAGATGTTGGCTTAATAAAAACACACAGATGTGTGTATTAATTGACAAAATGAATTCAGGTACTATTGAGGAAGTGCAAGTTGCAGATGCAGTAACTTTAACCAAACCCAAATACATATTTGTAGTGAAAAAAAAATGTTCTCACTACTAGGAAATTCATTGGAGTTCCTTAAATGGACAACAATCTACAGAAAGTTGTTTACTTTGAAGAGGGTGCACAATCAAAGAGCCATTAGATGTTCTCAGTGTTGAAAAAGGCACACAGCCTGTCTGCTCTAAGGGACTGTTAAACTTTAGATGAACTGTCCTATATAAACATGCAATAGGTGGGAATCCATTTCAAAAGTGTCATTATTAATAATTGATCGGTCAGGTTTCTTCCTCCACTAATGCATTCATATTGTGAACTTTGTGTGGTTTGGTAAGAAGGCAAATAAATGTAGAGATTAAACTTAGCTTTTATATGATTTACATCAGAATACTATTTCTATGTGTATTGACTCTTAACTTTTCTCATGTTACTCCTTTTGTGATTAAAGATTCTCACTTGTTTCCACCAGCTCATTTCCTCAATTCAGGGTGTGGATAAGATCATGGGTCAGCTCATGAACGGATTAAAACAGATTGGCCTGCACCGCTGTCTCAACATCATTATATTGGCAGATCATGGTAACTCTTAACATGGATTTACATGGCTATAGATTTTTTTTAAATCAGTTAAAAATAATTCATAACAGGGAAATTCTGAATGGCTTTTCAATGTTTATGCCTGCTGAAAGACACTTAGCAAAAATATTGTTACCTTAGATTTAGAACAAAAAAAATCAAATTAAATATACAGACTTTAACCTTTAAAGGCGTTCTTTAATAGATGGCATATGTCAAAATTGTGGAAGAAAAATCAAAAAGCAGTATCATACTATAGAAATTGTTCCTAAACCCAAAAACTGACTTAAAGATATCTATTGCCTTCTTTTTCCAAAAGTAACCAACCTGGTAGTGGTCATTGTCTCAGCTTAATAAGTTCCAACAGAGAGCTCAGAATATGCTTTTTATGAAGAAGTATCATATTTAGAGACTTATGTATGTCATGAATGTAAAGAACACTATCTAAGAAATGCATAAAATGCATAAAAGCTGGATATTTACAGAGTTATTACTTATTCTTCTGGAAAGATTGAGCCTAAATAGGAATAATTAAACACAACAGAAAAACACGATGGACAAAGCACATGTTCCAACTACTTGTAGTCAGCAACGTAAGAAGCTAAAGCTAAATGAAAGTTGAACGTTACAGGGATGGAGGACACAAGCTGTGACAGGAAGGAGGCGATGGAGGAATTGGTGGGAGATACCAGCAGCTATGTGGTTTCGGAGGGACCATTTGGACGCATCAGGGCGAAGAACTCAGGTGATAACATTATCTGTTCTGTCTCTTTAACAAATCATGCTTCACAAAGCCTTTTGGCGTGGAGTGCACAACAGAGCTTTATAACTGATTACCTATGTGTGCTTTGAAATCTAGAAATCTCAATGTTGTAAACGAAATGGAAAAAATGATGTGTAAAGGTCTTTTGAATAGGGAACATACCAAGGGAATCTCCATAGTCTCACTGTCATTGGGGGAAAAAAAAAACAACTTCTCTCAGAAAACACCAGGATAACATTTTTTTTCCATAACAACATGAGTCAAACCACTGTGCCGATTCAGCTGTCAAGTATCCCACTCCATCTTTTTGCTTATATACGATCATACATTTATTTTATTTAGCTTCAGATTTGCTGCTATCTTGATTTGTTTTCAAAAAAAGAGAAAAAACTTGAAAGTGCGGGTTTGGGGCTTTTTCAAAAAGAAAAAAACAACAACTCTGTATTCTCGAATATTTACTGTGTCCAGGCATCACATGACACAGATGTACATTGTTTTGAGCACAAAAAACTCTCTGATGTGACTTTAAGTTTCTCATGAATTTTTTCTTCTTCTCAGAAATGGACTCAGAAGGACTTGTTGCTAACATGACAGTGAGTATGTTTTCCAATTCCCATATCATATCTGTGAAGATTCTCAGTCATCCAGGTCTTGGTCAAGCTTGAAAAGTCAAATTTAGGCAACTGGACGTGAAATTTTCTAGCTGATGGTGGGGAGTAGTGAGATAAATATACTGTAGGTGTAACAAAAAAGGGCTTTGTAAGTAGGTTGTGGTCTTAGACATAACCTGTCACCTACTTACATAACATTTTAGGAACAACACCCAGAAGATTAGCCCCTCACCTGACTCACACTTCAAAGAGGGATGTGACCGAAACCACTCTGACATGGGAGTTAACGTCCAAACAGAACACCCAAACAACCGTTAACACTCCTCCAGGTGACCTCCATGGTGAGAGGTGAAACGTCTCCTTGAAAACCTCATGTCCAGTTGCCTAAACTAAATACCTATACCTTCCTTTTTATTATTCTTTTGAGAGTTAAGTCGAAGATGTGATCCAGCCCTAAGCGCTAGTTGGGGTCGCTTTGTGTAAATGCTGTCTTGCTATATGAAATGAGCATGAATAAATATATTCAAATCGATGCCTATGTTTTTGATGATTTAAGTGTAGGAAGCCAGATCAAAAGATCACGCCCTACCTGAAAGCCAACCTGCCAAAGCGCCTGCACTTTGCCAACAACCGCCGAATTGAAGATGTCAATGTTCTGGTTGAACCTGGATGGCTGTTTGAAAGGTATACATCAAGCAATCTCTGTTACTTTATTTTTATCTTATATTCTCTCTGTATATTTTTCATATAGATAGGGGGAAAAGGAGTGAAAACCTGCCAAAAAAGCAGTGGCTGTTTTATTCAGGTTCAGTATCATGACTGTGCAGCCAATCAGAAAGCGGTTGAAAATCGGTGTGTGTATTAAGCTAAAACATTGTCTCTGTTCTGTTATCCTTTGCTGCTGAAAAGACTGCTAACTACAATGGTAAATAAGTACAGAAGGCTCTGACTCTAACAGAAATATGTTGCTGCAGTTACAAACTTGATCTTATTATATAATGTATCCCCTCCCCAGTGCGAGTTAAATCCTGATCGTTTCATTTTCATGCTTTTCCTCACAGATCTCCTGGATCGCTCACATTCTGCTCTGGAGGAAATCATGGCTATGACAATGACGCTGAGAGCATGCATGTGGGTGTTGAAGGTTCAGATGATACTATTCTACCAAATGATCAGATTAAAAAGACTTGGCACTTCCTGCAGCACATAAACTGTGATGTTTCCTCCGTGTTTGTCTTGCAGGCTCTGTTTCTCAGTTATGGTCCCAAGTTTAATGACAAATCTACGATTGAACCCTTTTCTAACATTGAGCTGTACAATCTAATGTGTGGTGAGTGGTTTGTGTCTTTGAAAATTAAAAAAGGAAGCATAGATAGAAAGAAATGTGGTGGAATCCATCAAATGCTCTCAGAAATGATCAGCTTCACCACAACTGCTGAGGCAACCACACTGTAAACCAACCTGTTAACACTTGGTATTCTGCACGAAAACTAAAGTCATTGTTTTGTGCAGATGTGCTGCAGGTCCCTCCAGCTGACAATAATGGCACACATGGCAGTATGAACCATGCCCTAAGAAATCCCTACTACAAACCAGCAAGCCCTGGAGAGCAGAGCAGGCCGGCTCAGTGTCCGCTGGTCAGCCTAGACCCTGCAGATGACCTGGGATGCTCCTGCCTGGTGAGTGTCATCATGTCTACAATGTGTAGACTTAAATGGGAACGGGAGAATTTACAGGACAAGAAATAAAATGGACAACATTTAAGTGCAAAATTTTCAAGCTGAATACAGAAATAAATATGTATTGGCTTTCTAAAAGGAAGTAAATTCAATATATCATCCAACCTTAGCTATATGTTAGCTAAGCTGTCCCATGTCTGCTGAAGTGTAACCCTAATCTTACAACAAAAAACAACAACATTGCTTTATATAACCAGAATTTCAACCACAGACCTTTTTTTTTAGAAACTCGTCATAGTCTCAGGAATTTAACCTGTGAAAAGGTCAGTTTTTGAAAAACTAAATAGATAAAATACCTAAAATACCATTTGTTTCACATATCTTTCTAATCTGCTCAAGAGAAGAGCTGACTTCAAAAAGGGCCAAATCCATTTGGGTGGAAAAAGTTAACATGATGGATGGTTGGATACTCTCCCTCTTGAAATCTGACCTTGACTCCCTTCAGTGTGTCAACCTGCAAAAACGCTAAACGTTTTTCCAGCACAGTCACACGAAATGCAATCCAACCCAGCTTCAGTCAAAGCACTTTGAATTGACCGAAGTAGATCAAAGTGCTCTACACATGCAAAGGTGAAAGGAATAGTAAAAAAAGACTAGATAACAATAAAAATACGTATGGGAAGGCACTGGAGTGATGGTGAAACTCATTTTCACACATCAGTTAAAAGACATACAGCAGGTTTTTTAACCCTTTTTTAACCTTGGACAAATGGAATCAGCCAGTTTCAAAGAATGCCCTGATCTGAAAGGCTACAGGCATGATGCAGCCATGCCAAGACATGCTCCCACGCAACAGCTCTAATGGCAGGTATTAGGGATGAAATAAGCCTGCAAACATCAGCCAAGTCCGCTCTGTGCTAAAGTCGGAAAACCTACACGGTTGAGTCACATGAAGCGACAAATTCGTCTGAAACTGCTTTGCATGTGTCAGTGAAATGCAAACAGACATGTTTAAATGGTTAAACATAGTGAAAATTCCATGGAAGTCATGGTGTGTTTGCCAGTCCTTAGCCCGCTTGTTTGCCAACCCAACCTCAGCATCGTCAGCTTTTTACTGAGACATTTCATCATAAAATTTGTATATATATATACATATATATATATAAAGATGACTGATTATCAAATAAATGTAAAATTCTTATCAGAAACTGATTTATTTTGACAAAGACAAAGAACCTCTTTACTTTCTTTCCACAGCAATAAAAATGACATGGTCAAATATCAGAGTAGGCACAGATGTATCACTGAAGTATCATAGAGGTATCTTTGAAAAAGTCACCTTGTGGAGAGTGAGGGTATCCTGGAGCAGGTTCTCTATTCTTAATAATATGTTTTTTTATTTAATTTCCTTTTTAGATAAACAACAAATGTTTTAATTGTGTTTATTTTAAAATAAGCCGCTGTATGTTAGAAGGGAACCTAGTAAAGGGGTTTTTAAAGTTTGAGATTTAAGGATTTTTCTTCTCTTTAGGTTGGAAATGCCATCAACAGCCGTTTGAACCTGACTGCAGAAGAGGGTGAGGAATTTGACAGGTTTTTGAGATCGAGTGGCTTTGACAACATGCTGTTTTTGGTGAACTGCTTTCATTATTCAAGCCTCTGCCAAAAGTCTTTTAAAGACACACAAACTCTCAGTACAGATTTATGACATAACAAAGGCCGCGACGTGGAGCTTACCGCATCGGCCCCTGTGGCAACATTTGGCTGTTCATTGATCGTGATTAAAAAAACAAAAACATTTGCGTTTCAGTGTCTGCGGCAGAGGGGAAGCATGTGCTGTTTGGTCGCCCGCGGATGCTACAGCCTGACCAGAGTTACTGCATCCTCCACCAGGAAGGATTCGTGAGCGCCTACAGCCACAGCAGGCGCATGCCTCTGTGGAGCTCCTTCACCGTTGATAAGCCGGTGAGAGTTAATGCCTCCCAGAATGTTCATGAAAACATGTTGAAATGAATCCAACAGGCATGATACTGTACCAACCAGAACTCTTGAAAAACCCAACCGTGAGGGGCGGTAAATGACAACCCCCACTTTCTTCATAACACGCCAAAAAAAAAAAAAAAACACAAAAGGAACGGAGCCTTGCCACACTGGACACCGTTCAGGGAAAAGCTTTGTTGCATATATCACCACCCTTAAACAATTCTGCTTCTAAAAAAAAGCTTAAATACCCACGCTGGCTCGGAAACCTCAGTTAAAATTATTCTTAATAACAGTTTTTTTTTGTCAAAACTTATGTATATAATGAGCAAATACCTCCACTTAGTGGGACAAGCCAAGGCGTCCACGCATTAACTTTAACCAGAACCTTATCTGTCTGCAGATCTCATTTCTGTCTTTCTGCTATTCTAAAAATAAAACACATAAAACAATGCTTTGATTTTCATGTGAGCACTCGGTGATAACTATCCGACTTTCATAGGGCGACTTGGACCCATTGTTGCCCGTGCTGGCAGACTGTTTGCGGGCTGATGTCCGACTGGCAGGGTTTCAGAGCCCTACATGTGATGAGTATGAAGCTGCTGGGAATGTAACGCATGCCTTCTTGTATCCACCTAGTAAGTATTATGACTCATTAACCTTTGCCAAAAACAATCAGTATGAGTCAGCAGTCCGTGATAAAGTTCATCGTGCCACCTCACAGTTAAATACCAAGTAAAACAACAGAACATCGTTTCATGGATGTCACCCATCAAGTTTTTAAAATGAATCACTTGTCTGAGTCTCACAAGAAACAATATGTAAATAATGTTGGTTTTCTCAAATCATGTCCTTATTTGGTTTAAACATTCGAAAAGCAGAAGTGTCTCTCGGCCCTTCAAAACTGAGTGGCACGTTTAAACATGAAAAAAGATTAACATGTTTGGATCCTGCCTTAATGCTCCAGTTTAGTCCTCATTCTCTGGAAAGCATTGACCAAAATAAATGCCGGGTAGATAAAGGCTTTTTTATTAACTGATTCTGAGGAAGGCTTCTGCTTAAGTTTCTGTTTTGAAAAAAAAGGACAATACAGAAAAGCCAGTCACATTTGAGGTTACATTTAGCTGCCCGGCTGTTAAGATGGTAAATTATCTTAATGGGGATTGATGTTTGTTTTACAGAGAATAGTTTTTCTTAAGAAGAATAAACTAAACCTTTCTCAAGTTTCTCATTCCCAATGATTATATTTTGTCTCATTTACAGATTTGAATTTAACAGAAGACCAGCAGTACGATGCTTTACTGATGAGTAATGTGGTGCCAATGTACCCCGGGTTTAAGAGTAAGTTACAAACAAGAAAAGACATTACAAGTTTACAACATTACAATCTTGAACTCTGTACTTTCTCTTTCCCTTCGTATCCATGCTGTCCTTTCTCAGAAATCTGGGATTACTTCCACAGAACTCTACTCAAATACTATGCCTTTGTATACAATGGCATTAATGTGGTCACCGGCCCCGTCTTTGATTACAACTATGATGGAAAGTATGACACTCCAGAGAGGACACAGCAGTAAGTATCCTTTACTCGGAGGATTATGATTTCAAAATCATTTCAAAGCTTAATCTGTCTCAGGACAGAATAGTCTGTTTATTACCCCACTGTGATGTAATCCCTGCAACGCTCATTATTTTATCTCAGTTACACCAAAAAAGGAATTTAAAAACCAGGGAGGATAAATTACAGGAAGATAGGCTGACTTGGAGTCAATCATTCATGTAATCCTGATTAACCGGAAGCTCACAGACTATCTGACTCACGGTGCCTGAAAGCAGAGGAGCGGATGTTGGTACAGCAGCAACTTTGCTAATAGAGTTTTTTTTCTGTCAATTAGGTTTGTGCCCGGAACAAACATCACCGTCCCCACGCATTACTTTGTGGTGCTGACCAGCTGCAGGGACCCAGCTCAAACAGTCAGCGCCTGCACCGCTGAGCTGCAGACGGCGTCGTTCCTGCTTCCCCACAGATCCAACCACTCAGAGAGTTGCAGAGTAAGATGATAACACGCTTCGCTTCCTCCTGGCCGGTGGCCTTTTCAGCGCCTACGTCAATAAGCTATCCAAGCAAAACAATTAGCAAGCCTCATGGTGAAACTGTCCCATTGTGGGTCATCTTTCCTGTCCAGCTGGCATCCTTCCTGTCTAGAACAAGGCAGCGGTGTCTTCTTTTCTTGTCTATGAGAAAAAGATCGATGATATAACAAGCTCACAAAGAAATACAAGAGATGCTACCTATTAATCGGATCAGAGTGGTTTCCAAGAAACAGCCAAAAGGGCATTAATGTTGTGAATGGAATGGGAAAACTATTCACAACCTAAAAGATTCAACTGTTTGCGTGTTTTGTTATACACCTGCTTGAAATTGACTCATGGCAAAATAAACAGGATCTAATTTCTAACCAAATATTACATATTAAAAAAAAGAGGAAGCACACAAAGGATGGGATGTGTGAACAATGAGCCGACAGCCCATTCAGATACACCCCTACTTGGAACAATACGCAATCGGGCCCAATCGGGATCCCTCGGCTTTGGTTTGTTAACATTGCATGGGGAGAACAGAGGACCTTTCAACTCTATCAGCATTGATAGAATTCACAAAAGCTCTTTGAGGACAAAAACAAGCGGAAAAAACTAGATAAACTTTTTTCTAAATATATTTCTATTTTTATCAACTCTCTGCTGACTGTCTCAGTTTTCACATGAATCTGGAGGCTCACATTTTTTAACTTTGTTCATATTCTTAGAGTACAGAGGCTGAATCTCAGTGGGTGGAGGATCACATGTGGTTCCACCAGGCACGTGTGAGGGATGTGGAGTGGATCACCGGTCTGGACTTCTACCAGGGCAGTGGTCGACCGCTCCCTGAGCTCCTGATGATGAAGACCCGCCCGACAGCCGCCATTCACAGACAACAATGAAAAATTTGATTTAAGCTTTAGAAACAGGAATCAACTCTGCCTTTGGTAGCGTTAACCCTTCATAAGCACTGGATATGTATGCATTGAAGTAAATCTATTTATTTATTTCATTTAGTAAATCTAATGCCGATTGTGTTGATTTTTTTCTGAATATGAGTTGATTTATTTTCAACTTGAAGAGTTTTATTCATACATAGCCCAGATGTGACAAAATTGACAAGATAATATTCACTTCAGTTAAAATGGTTAATAAAACGATCAAACTTGTAGGTCTGTATAGATTTCTGGACACCTTTTTTGATTTGTGACATTGCACTCTTGGTACTTTTCTGTTTTTGTACAGAGGAAATAAATAAAATCACATATGAAGATTACATATTTTAAACTAAAGAATTCCTTTCACCTTTAAAATCTTTCCAACATTTGTGTTTTTTTTTTGTCTGATAATGGAAACAGTCCCTTGTACATGTCTCCATTTATTTAACATGACTAATTTTCTGAAAATTAAAATTCAATAAACTAATAAAAATTAAACCCAGCCACTTCATCTTATCATAACAAAATATTTTGCCTATCACAGTGCTCATTATATTCAGTCAAAGCATTCTCTGAATTAATTAATTCGATATAGTGTGTTTCTGCTATTCAATTCAATTGACTTTTTTTGTCAATCTAACCAATATTTTTGTAACTTTAACTAATTAGACTTAACTAACTGAAACTATTTCCTTTGTAAATTATTTAAATGAATTATGTTTCAACAGGATGTTACCATTACCCGTTTACAATTTTTTAGAGATCAATTATAAAATGAATTATTGAGCAAGTTAATTAGTCAAGTTTACTTATTACTTATGCACTGGTACAGACATAAAAGGTCACTGCAAGTGTTTTGAATTATCTCTGATAATTTACCCTGTTCTACTGCAAACTTCTGCAGGAACCAGCACAGTTGCAAAGTTACAAGTGAATATAGTGGTAACTTTTGATGATGTTTATTTCATCATTTGTGATTGACTTGGATGGGATGTTTTAATAGACAATGTTTCAAAGCTGTTCGTTTACAGGATTTGGATAGTTACTATTTCCACAAGTAAAACACAGAGTTTCTTTGGGAAAGAAGGCAGAAAGCATGTCTAAACAAACTTAGTTCAGACAAGTCGCTTTAAAAAATTTCCAGCTTTCGGATTAATTCTATTCATTTTGACCAGAGGAAAGTTTCTGACATTTAAAAAAAACACCTCTTTAATGAATGCCTGCAGTGTTCCAGCACAGGAAAAAAAACAGGAGGAGCATTTTAGAGTCAGAGCTGAAGGAGCTTCTCTGACAAACCAAAGATAAGGCAAACCTCCAAAACGTCTCTTCCTTAAACTGACAGAGATATTTCATTAATAGAGCAGGAAATGTTCTGAACTGGCAGTTTAATTTACAGATACACCAAAATAACACTAAGTGGCACTAAACCTAGGGGTACAAGGATGGTGCCAGAGGCTGTCTGACTATAATTATGAGAAATCCATACAGAATTGATCAATTCTGTATTCATCACATTCAGTAAATAACTAAATTGAGTCTACAAGTTTGTCTCCCACACTGACCAGCATTTTGCCACGGGGATGGGAACTATCAGATATTGTTATGTAATGTATCGATACCGTCTAATTTCATGTAAGCTGTAGCTGTGGATGTAGTGACATAGGGAAGGAAACTCTCTGATGTCATGATTGTTTTTAGATCCCTCTGCATGACGACGAAAGCTACAAATCTGAAAGTGCTACTTAGACAAGAAGGGTCTTGTGAGGATCATTTTGCAGTATCATAAAAATGAGTCATCACGCTTACTCTTTCATCGCGTCAGAGAGCTGACTTGATATGAAACCAAAAGTCTGACACTGCACCTGTTTCTGTTTGTTATGGCTGTGCCTGCCACTGAGTACAGTTCTGTCGTAACGCATCTGTTTAAAAGCCCTGCTTCCAGTTCCACAGTACGTCCACGGCTGTCTTTCGGACAGTAATCTTGCCGTGCCCTTCATAAATCACTGCCCACACGGACTTCAATGTTTGTGCTTTGTTTTTCTCTGATGTAAATGTGTTCCACATCAAAAGAACCATCATTGTGGTCCAAGCTCCGGTCCATTAGTTGCACTGTGCACTCCGGCTTCTCAAACAACATCCATAAACAGGCAAAGCGCACGCTGTCTGCATTTACACAAGGGCTGTTACGTGTAAAGAGCTCCTAATAGGGCTTATGTTAACATGACAAAAAACTGGTTAGTTGATTCAAAATTAGCTTTTAAGTATGACTAATGTTTTTTTTCCCAATAAAAACTCTGTGTCACTGTCTCGGTCCATGACTGCTCAGGCAGGAAAACCAAGTTTTGACTCTCTTTTGCTGAGAGTAAAAACTTCCTGCTCCACTGGGAGAACATGCCAAAGGCAATCACTCTGTTCACACAGTTAGAGTCGGGAATCGGTCAAATGTGATGCAAAATCCCGACAACTAGTGGCAAAGCCTGTACATCTCATCCCTGGGGGTGCAGGGTAACGCTCTGAAATAGCCGTACCTTTTCTATTAAGTTCAATATTGCTTTGATAACCTCTATGTGGAAACTGGCTTTCTACAGAAATAATAAAGATATGCTATCATCAGTTGCGGTCAAATCTGTATTAAAACGTTATTTGGTCAAACTTTAATTTTCTTTTGGAACAAGGAAAGGCATTTACATTTCAATTCATGAATGGGAAAGACAGTTTGTCTAAAAATATTCATATTGGTTGATGTGTGATGTGTGTGTGTGTGTGTTTTGTTAAATAAGTGTTTATGGTTGCTTTAGAAACAGATGCTGACTGTTGACTGTTTATTCTTACACAGTCTGAAACCATTTTCCTGTCCCAACAAACCACTATCTAACATGAGCAATGACATCATCACATTTTAGACCCACCGACACCCTTACACACGAAACAAAAGGGAAACTCAAAAGCCACACAGTTATGTTGTCCACCAGATGTCATCAGAGCATTTTAAACCCAGAGAAAATTACTGGCAGATACAACACTGGAGTGTTTATTGAAGGTGTCCAAAATTGGTCCCCGGCCGGCTTTAGAGGTTTTTCTGCTTTAACACATCTTTCTCACATCAGCACATTATTAGCAGCCCGATCCAGAGCTGAACAAAGTTCAAGACTGATCCATTACTCAGAATCCAGTGTGTTGAAGCAGGGAAGCGTGTTAAACCTGCGTTACAGCCGTTGGGCACCCACAAGTTTCGAGAAAATTTGAGGTTGCCTCCAGCACACTTTCATGGGATGATACTCTTAAAAATGAAACTGTTGCCTGGTCTTGGAGAGAAAAACAAAAAAACACAGTCCCTCAGCCAGAAGTACAGGTATTAGAAATGCTCCCAAAATCTGCCTACCTCCACTTACCTAATATCAACCGACTCCGTCCCAGCCTCACCCCCAACACTGCCTCCATCCTTGTCCAGAGTCTCGTCCCCTCCCGTCTAGATTACTGCAACTCCCTTCTCTTCGGTCTCCCTCACAAGTCTCTCCATAAGCTTCAGCTGGTCCAAAACACCTCTGCACGTGTCATCACCAAAACCCCGTCTTCCAAGCATATCACCCCCATCGTACAGCGACTTCATGGCTCACCCTAAGAATCCAATTCAAAATCCTTCTATGCACCTTCAAAGCTATACAGCTACAGCTAGACAGGTACGGAGGGCCAGAGTTTTGGATATATCCACAACCTCCTCCACATAGTCACCCCAGCACCTCCCCCAGAACCTCCTCTTCTCTCCACCTCACTGTGGCCCTGCTCACCTCAGCACCATGGGGGGCAGCGCCTTCAGTCGCTCCGCTCCCCGACTCTGGAACTCTTTGCCATCTGACATCCGAAATACCGACTCTCTCCCTCTTTTCAAAAACAAAACTCAAAACCCACCTGTTTAAAAATTTCTTACCCACCTTACCACCCCTAACTCTAACACTCCCCTCATTCTGCACAGTTTTATTCATTCCATTTATATTGAATTCATTTATGATGTTTTAATTTATGATGTATTTATGATTTTGTATGTTTTCTTATGTTTTAATGTTGTTTTGATGATGATGGTCTTTGTAAAGTGTCCTTGAGTGGCATTAAAGGTGCTTTTTAGAAATAAAAATATATTAAAATAAAAATGCTATTAAGGAAATAAAAATCTCTTAAAACTGAATTCAGGTCCCACATTTGATTAAGGGTTCAAATTTTGTAGTTAAGCAAACTATTTAAAATCTATTAAAAAAAAATCTATGAAGAAAAACTAATAAACAGTGAGGGAGAGGGAGAATGAAGTGTCTGGATTTCCAAAGGTTTTGAAACTCTGGGTGACTCCTTTTTCCATGGGTGCTTTCAGATTTAGAAATAAACAAAACACTCCTTGTGGTCACAATCGATTACCTCAACGGTGGAGTTATAAATACTGGGGGGAAAGAGGAGAAAGAAACATCCTGGAGACTGACTGCTCTCGATCTCACATCACATTCACGATGGTAGGTGGGGACAGCCGCGGGGGAGGCATGCCTTCACTTGCCTTCACATGCCTCAGCATCTCAGTAGGGACGCGCGCTCCCAGTCCCTCTGTCGCTTCCGCGTAAATGGATCGGATGAAAACTGGAAATTAAATTGGATTCCGGCTGCGTTTCGATTGTCTGTGCGTAACGACGTCTCCTGTGTCCTACCTGTGCCCGTGTTTCCTCCTCCCTTTCCAGGTGTACGCGTGTCCGGTGCTGCTGCTGCTGCTGCTGCTGTGGGCGCGTCCCTCCCTGCTGGCCGCCTCGCCGCGCACCTACGAGGACACTGACCGGCTGACCGGCGAGCGCGTCCAGTGCGAGCGCTGCCCGCCCGGGAGCTTCCTGCGCGCGGGCTGCTCGTCCGAGCGCCGGAGCGAGTGCGCGCGCTGCCCGGAGGGTTCCTACACGGAGATGTGGAACCACATCAGCAAGTGTCTGCGCTGCGGGGCCTGCGGCCGCAACCAGGTGGTCAAGCAGGCGTGCACCGCGGAGTCCGACTGCCAGTGCGAGTGCAAGCAGGGCTACTACTACGAGCCGGACTACGACTCGTGCGTCCGGCACAGAGAGTGTCCAGTCGGACAGGGAGCGCTCACCAAAGGTAGAACTGACCGAGAAACGCTCAGAATCTGTGTACAGTATATATATGTGTGTTTTTTAAATCTTATAAATGGGGTTCATTTGTCCAGTTTTCTGTTCTTATTTCTATGGGAGTGAAAAATGGGTCTGGGGGCTCTGATGTATTAAAAGCTTTCAGAAGTCCATCATAATGATTGTCATTGTCACTGATAAAGGGAGCAAATTCCTCAGTGCTTTGACTCTTTTGAACAAAACTTCCATAGCTGCAAATATAAGGAGCAGGTTGGTGCGATCACATTGAGGAGAGGGGATCTGCTGCCCCTCAGAGGAAAGATGAGGCTGAGGCATGGACAGAGAAACTTGACAGTTGTTACTTTCCACGCCTGCACACCGATAAACTTATAGGCTTTTTTGGTCTCTGAAAAAAAGGATTCGTGTTGTAAGCAGCTCAGAAATAGAGATGTAAAGCATTTGGAATCCCAGAGAGTTGTCTTTAAAGTAAAAAGCGGTCTTGGTTGTTACTGAAAACCAGATGAATCTCTTCCAGGTACTCCAGAGAATAACACGGTGTGCCAGATTTGCTCCGGCAGCACCTTTTCCAACACCTCGTCTGCTCACCAAAGCTGCATGGAGCACAAGAAATGCAGCGATTCAGGGCTGAAGATGGTGCTGAGGGGCTCCTCCTGGCACGACAGCGTGTGCGCCGACTGCACACAGCTCAAAGGTAAGGCCCCTCACTTTTCTTTCATGTTTAGCCATCAGGGATCTCAGTCATATTAGTTTATTTACAGAGTAAGGTTGAAAAAAAAAACACCACTGAGTTCCCTTTTGAAATCTTTTAAACTCCATGTCAGTAAGACTGAAAATGAAAATCACTTAGACTTATCAGCCAAGTTCAACTGAATGGAAATCACCTGAACTTTCATGAGCACTCTGCTTTCTGTTTCTGTTGGTGAAAGCGGGTATTACTCTGCCAAAAGTAAACAGCACTGTCAAAAAAGGGCTGGGTTATCCAGCCGGAATTTTGCTGTTGCCTTATCATTCACTCATTGCTTATCTTATCTGCTCTTTTCAGATGCCGCAGACTATCTCAGAGAGACCATCCCGGATTTTGTTGTTTACCACAACATGAACGTCAAGCGGCTGCGCCGAGTCGTGCACAGGCTCTTTCCTGAAGATTTGGAAAAGAGTAGAAGAACCTCAGGGCTCAGCTCCTCAGAGCTTCACGCAGAGATAAACGCCTGGGCTGCGTCTGCCACGCCCGCACAGATTCGACAGCTTCCAGACTTGCTGAAAAACAGAGCTGGCGACTGGCTAAAGAACATGCTGGACCACATTGAAACCCGTCTACCTGAGGAGTGTGGTTTGGGGAACGGGACAGAGGGGAATTGAAGATCAGATTAGGCTGAATCTGTACTTTTTATTTTTCTATGCATAATGTGTCTCAAATATATCACTTTTTTTGGTCCAAATGAAATATTTTCTCCTGTGCAGTTTCAACATTTGCGGGGACATTCATTTCAAGATTCAGTGGTAATGGGGTATGGACAATCCCAGGAGGATACACAAGGGTTTAACTTGCTGTCTTTGTGAAATTTCTAAGCGTATACTATTTCAGAAATGTTGCCTGGTAGCCTGAAATGTTGCAGAAAGTAATTTAGTTAACTTTTTTAAAGGAGAAAAGTGTTAGCCCTAGAAACCTACCTCTTTTTATCCCTGCAGTTAAAGACAGATGTTGCACTTTTTATCTGCTGGTTTCTAAGATTTTATAGTTTTACAATAGAGCTTAAAGGTGTATCTCAATGTTTTTTATCCTTAATTTATTCTCTTTTATTTATACGATTGAATTAGACTCAGAATTCAACTGTATATAAATGATGAAATTAGCTGGCATTTACTGGTGAACATGCGTGTTGTGAACAATGCAATAAAAATGAGCAACAAAAATACCAGACAGTCTCATTTCCCTTCTTACCCAAAAGTTTTACTTTTGCCATACACAACTTCACACCTCAAATGTTTATGCATTTGGCAGACGCTTTTATCCAAAGCGATCTTTGCCTGTTGTCTACAGACCACTAAAATCTTTGGTTGAATGGTCAACGCCAGTTTATCAGTCTTAATCTAAACATCCCTCAAATCTTCCACTTTTGGCAGTATCTCAAACTTTGACTTCTGGAATTCTATCCGATGCACTGTCCACAAGTCTATGTACACAAATCCAGCCTCTTGGCTATGATGCTCCATGTGCGCCATCCCTGATTGGACCACACCAATGTGACGCTTTGTTTGTTTGCTTGTGCTAAGCAACTACTTTGTGCTGCTATGACTTTGTGGTCTTGGACGAACACAGTTCCAGCTAAACATTTGAATGACCATCCATCTATGTTCAATATACACATCTCTTTACCCCAGCTGTGATCAGCAAACCCTGCATGACCGAATCATGATGTCATCGTTGGTAGAAATTAAGAAGACTGACAAGTGTGCTTGTGTACATGTTTCTCTATAGTCAGTTTAGAATCAACAGCTAAATTGTTTTGCTTTTTGAATGCGTACCAAATGACACCCTTTCAGGAATTTGTCACAATTTGTTTTGTCACATGAAAACACAACCAGCTGGTATTTCATGACAGCAAGGACTTCCACCTAAACTGACCACTGAACAGTTTTATGTGCTTTCCAGACTACATCCTCATCACAAAAGGGAAATCGTGGCCATTACTGGCACATTGCTAATAAACTAGAATTTCTTCTTTTTTTTCTTTCACATTTAGTTTTCTAAAACATTTTCAGGCCAAATTGAACCAATTTCTCTATGAAGATGTTTCATTTAGGTCAACAATGTCACATCAAAGGGATTAATCATTTATTTATTATAAATGATTAAACTTGATATGATTAAACTGACTTTCACGCTATACTGTCGTTATTGTTTCCTTTGACATTTAAATGGTGTGCGACTTTTCCAGTTTTACAGCAGTAGAAAAACCTCATAAAAAAGACTAGACTAACTTGCCAGAGCGTTACAACTACTTTTACAGATTGACACAGTATATCAGAAAGAACACAACGGGGGTTGTGAAGAGGGGAAGTTCCGTTTATTGTTTTATTTTCAGAAACCAAAGGTACCGCTGCTGTACACTCTCAAACCAGCATTCATAACTTATCAGTGTGACAATGTTTGTCCAAAAAAAGGAGTACCCCACCTAAATGCAGATTAAAAAACCAGGAAGCAAAGCAATTTCAAAGCAGGAAGAGGTAGTTAACCTTTCCTGAAAGCACTACAGTAACTGTAAGTCCAGAGCACCACAAAGTGGAACTTTAAAAAAGGAAAACCAAAGTTAGCCTGCAGCAAAATACAGCAAATTAATGACAAATAAGTACTTAGTTTAGTAGTAGTTTATCCAATTGTTTATTTATGTGTGTCGTACAGATGGAGCTACAAATATGTCCAAAGAACTTCCGAGTTATCAGGAAAGTTCTTCGACATTTCAGGAGAGCTAGGAGGCATGTAAACATGTAGAGTCATGTGCTCATTACGTCAATTCATCTAACTGTCAAAGAATGTTTTCATTGCTGAATGAGATTACTGACATATTGAAATGGATAGAAACCACAACTAAGCAGATAGTAGGACAGATGTGTCATAGATCTTGGACCCTTTCCAGTATGTGTGTCACTCCTCACACATAATAAAGGCATGACAGAGTAATCACATTTATTATTTTTGGTCGTGAGGTGTTTCACGTATGAAAGGCAAAGGTCAAAAGTATCAAACGTGAGGAGAACTGGTGGTAGAAATTATCAAAGCGCAGTCATTTGTGGTTTTATGAAAAGGATCCTTTGGGCTTTTTGTAGGAGTCAGCTGGATTAGTAGACGGGTTTTATTGGCTGTTTTCCTGAACTCAGATTGGTTTTCTGTGAGCTGTTCTTTTTTCTAGAGCAGAATGATAACACCATAAGCACCTTAAAGAAACAACAAAAAGGTCCCACTCAAATAAGGATTTACTCTATGTGTTTTATATCAATAGAACTTAACAAAACGCCCATAAGTGAGTCTCTGTTTACAGAAGCAATGAATGGCCTTTCTGTATTGATAGATTTTTATGATTAGTTGGTGCACGAATACTCTCTGTGACTTTTCCTTAAATTAGATATTGCATTGTCAATATCAGAAAAACAAGAGGGTGTTCTCTTCATGTAAGTAGAAAAAGTTGGCAAATAATGGATTTAAAATCTCAAATTTCTTTAATCATATACTGATAAGACTTATACCTCAGGTATCCATTTAGCTTTCCCATTTTCCACACAGAAATAAACACACATCCTTGGTGTAGAACATGTGTGCAATATACCTTTGTTGATGCAATATTAGAGAAAGGTATTGCTTCATCTTCCATCATCTTTTAAAATCATTTGGCCTCCAGTAAAACATGCTTATGGCAGTAAGCCAATAAGCAGCATCCTTCTCTCTTTCTTTTTGGCAAACTCCGATCAAGTGCATGTTGTGCATATTAGAATTCCCCTGCCTCTTTTTTGGGATGTTGTCATTCTAAAAAACTAAAGAGGACCAACAGGACAGCAAATCTTGAAGTCTTGGGCATGTGTGTAGAAATAACGGCAGTCTGCAAGTGACCACAGCACAGCATTCACAAATGTCAGGACTGCACTATGTCAAAAACCACCATGACTAACCCTAAAATGTATGTTGTGTCTGGGTAGTCTGTGATTTTGTCAACAGAAACCAGTGATACATGCTGACTGGGCTATGAGATGGAGTAATATCTCAATTTCCCTGGCAGGTTAAATGTGTCCTTTGCACCATGAAATTGCAGAAGAATTTGTTTCCAGTGAGTTTCAATCAGCATATATTCCAAAGAAGACCTGTCTGAGGGTCAGTTTCGCCTGCTAAATTCGTCAGAAAAATGCAGCTGTGGAAAGCTGATAAGCTGATATAGCAGCAGCACATTTATAACAAGTATTGATAACAATAACGCACACACACACACACACACACACACACACACACACACACACACACA